TACAGCTCACCGCGGCAGCCTGACACCCACCACAGATGGTTGGTATTTTATTCTGAATTACTCTGTATATATTGGACTAACAGTTTAATGAAGTATTGAATATTGTAGAAAACTATTTTTAATAAATATTACAACCTTTACGAGCTTAATTAAAAGTAAATAAGGCATTGAGAAACATCGATATTCCTAGAGGTGGCGGCGTAGGATGTGTCAGGAACAAATAAACTAAAATATTAGCTTCGAGGTGGATAGAAATATTATCAGTGTAAGAAACAACTGTTGTTCTACAGGCCTCTAAAATAACTTGTTGAGTAATGCAAAACGGCACAGTTATCAATATTTACCGTATTTCCTTTAAAATTGATGACTGCAGCTGTGGGTTGATTTAAAACACTCAGTTCTTCAGATTTAGAATAGATTTATGTAAGCAGGGTTTTCTTTAACATTTACAACACTAATTATTTGACACTGTGGTTAAAACATATAGTAAAATATAATTACGAACTCATCAAACAACAGGTGTGAGTTAAGAAAAATGAAGAGACACTATCTTGATGAAAATAAAACTATTGTATTTAGAAACCGGATTTATTATTATTAGATGCATGGTCGCTTTAACATTTATACGGTCTTTAAGCTTGGGCTTTAAGTAGGTCAAGAATACACTAGAAACCTTATATAAAAATAATAATGGATAATAGTTCTTCCTAAGTAAATTTTGATGTCATATTGGACGTTATTTTTCAGTTTAGGCTCGTCAGTTAGGGGCACATATGTATGCCTCAGTACTAAACACTTTGTAAACAGACGCCGATAATCGATATGTAAATTTTATCAATATGTATTAAGCGTTCAAATCATGCCGTGCTTATGTGTCATATATCCAACACTAATGCTGGTATCGTATCCAGACTGATGACAAATTATACGCTAATGACCAGTTGCTTTCATTTGTATATATTATACTGTATAACTTTCGAAGATGAAGAGGGGCTGTGGTTGTTATTACAAGTGACCATAGCACTTCAGGCGAGGGGCCACAAATGTACTGCTGCTTTGAGTTTTCAAGCAAATAACTAAACCTACAAACGCTTCTCTCTTTTATATTGTATGCGATAAGGGACCATATAATATTGTGGGGTTAGGTTGGGTTATTATGATCATAAGACGAAATCCTACATCCTGCCTGCCTGCCCTGCCCCTCCTACACCCCTGCCTGCTCTATACACACCTGTCCCATGCCACCCTGACTCACCCTTTCCGGCCCTGCTCCTCCTACACACCTGCTAGCCTGCTCCTCCTACACACCTGCTAGCCCCTGCTCCTCCTACTGCCAGCCCCTGCTCCTCCTACACACCCCTGCCAGCCCCTGCTCCTCCTACACACCCCTGCTAGCCCCTGCTCCTCCTACACACCCCTGCTGGCCCTGCTCCTCCTACACACCTGCCAGCCCCTGTCTCCTGCTAGCCCCTGCTCCTCCTACACACCCCAGCCCCTGCTCATCTCACACCTGCAGCCACACTCCTCCTACACACCCCTGCCGGCCCTGCTCCTCCTACCTGCGCCTGCTCTCCCCACACCCCTGCTAGCCCCTGCTCCTCCTACACACCCTGCCAGCCCTGTCCTCCTACACCCCTGCCTTTCTCCTCCTACACACCTGCCAGGCCCTGCTCCTCTACACACCTGCCGGCCCTGCTCCTCCTACACACCCTGCCAGCCCCTGCTCCTCCTACACACCCCTGCCAGCCCTGCTCCTCTACACCCCTGCCAGCCCCTGCTCCTCCCCCTGCCAGCCTGTCCTCATACACCTGCCCCTGTCCTCCTACACCCCTGCAGCCCTGCTCTCCTACACACACCCCTGCCAGCCCTGCTCCTCCTACACTCCCCTGCCAGCCCTGCTCCTCTACACACCCCTGCCAGCCCCTGCTCCTCTTACACCTGCCAGCCCCTGCTCCTCCTACACACCTCCAGCCCTGTCCTCCTACACACCCCTGCCAGCCTGCTCTCCTACACTCTACCAGCCCT